GATGTTCTTCCCCCCCCACACACCGCCCCCAAAGAAACAAATCTGTAGGCTGCAAACTTATATCTTCCCGCTGGGCTCAGGCCGTGCATGTGGCAGCTCTCGCTTCCCGGCAGGTTTTCCACGGTTCCCTCAGGCCTGACGTGTGGAGAGCAGCAGCTCCTCAGCGGCGTGATGCCAGCGAATCGGGATGGAGTCGGCCTCGATGTTAGTAGCCCCTACTATCCCAGCCAAAATGCCACACAGGTGGAAGACAAACAGCATTAGGACAGAGCGAATAATGCGCTGAGGCTGCTGAAGCGGGCAAAAATTCAGTTTTGGTGTATGAGCTGCTCAGCCGCATCCTGCATTAGCTCCATTAGCAAACGCACAGCCCTTCAAAACCACACTTAGGAGATTATATGACATTGATTTTTTTACCAAGATAAAGTACTGAGACAGTTTTGTTCATTAACTTCTACCTGGCTCTACATCTCCTGCATTTAATTTCATTATAAGCAGCTTCAGGACTGTATTTTGCAGCTTTTTATGTGACATACCTTACAAACATAGGCAATGCATCTGTCTTGTTGTGGGTGAGAACAGAGGACCCATTGCCATCTCCTACCCATTGGTTGTAGGTTGGCTGTCACCTCCCTGCAGAAGGTAGCTGGGAGCAGGCAGGCATTCCATGCATCCTGCACAGCACTGCCTCAAGTACTGGACCAAAGAAAGTGCTCGTTCAGTTCTAGAGAAAGCAACTGCAGCACACGAATGTTGCACATACTCACAGATTTCCTCTCTTACCAAATTTTGAAGGGGGTTTAATAATTTGCTCATCTGAAATTAAGTCTTCCTGAAGAACAAAATTAGATTAAGATTTTGAATCTTTATATGTAAGATACCAGTAGTAACCCAGTAATACCTGTATTTCTAAACTGTAAAAACAACTCATTACAGAGTAGTTATGACTTCTCTTCATCTAAAATAAATCTCACAATAGTTATCATATGTTAACAGTGCAACAACTTGAAATGCCATTTGGCCATCCTGTCATTTGAAATAATTTGCATTCCTTTAAATACACATATTGTGAAATACCTGTGTACAAGTTTCAGAGCAAGATGTAAAACCATCCCAGAATTCCTTTGGTTGGGAAAAATCCCAGAAGAGATGGCAGTGGCTGGGAGGGTCCCAATACTCTGCTGTGCAGAGGAGGAGCTGCAAGTCCCAAGAGGTCTTCTGGCCTCTGACCCTGCTGGGGGGTCAGATCCTGCTCCCTTTGGCAGCTGCATTGCAGTATCTGTGGACTGGATTTTGAACTGCATTTCGGGTAAAGTAGCATGCAAGAAATGCATAAAACCAAAACTATCAATGCTTTTTTGACAGCACACTCGCTGCGCACAATTAATCTGTGCACATTTATCTCCAGCAGATTATTCACAATTACATTTTCTTCATTACCCATGGGCCCAAGTAAAGGAAAAGTCCAGAGCCACCTCCTCTAACCTGATCTTACCTGTTGAGATAGTTAAGCTTTCATTCCCAACAAACCCCTTTGATTTCCAGGCTGGAATCGGTATGTAAAGCTAAGCCTTTTACTATGCCTCCCAGAACTGATCTGTAAGAATACAGTTAAAGAAGAAAAGTATAAACAAATGTTATGGGATTTTTTTGTTGTTGTTGTGCATCTCATAATCAGATGCCAAAACAGGTTTCCCAGAGAAGCTGTGGGAATTCTGTCCTGGAGACACTGGAAACTTGTCTGGCCCCGGCCAAGCTCACTTACGCAGCTCCCACTCTGTATTGGGGCTGACCAGAGAGTCTCCAGAGGTCCCATCCAACCTAAATTACTCTCCCAACTCTACTGGAGCTGAGACATGGCTTGGATAGAAGGAATGGAGTCCAGCCGAGCAGAACACCGACAACAAAATTCCGTTAAAATTCTGCATGGGCACCACAGCTTGACTGCACTGACCTTACTGATGCTATCAGGGGGTTAGCTGTGCCAGGAGCACTTGGATGCCTGAAGCAAAGGACGTGCATTTGAACTCTGGGAGAGGAAATTTGCCCCATTTAAAAACACCAAACAGATTCAAACAGCTAGCAGCTTAATTCTGGGGATTTTCTGCAAGAGAAAGTTTTTGCAACCATTTCAAACTGAGCAAACCAGTCTACAACTACCCTGATTCTTATCTTCAGACCTGCAGATTTTCCACCTATTTTAATGGGAAAACAGATTCCTTCTGTCTACACGTGCCTTAGATTATCTGAATTACTTTCCTAAGGAATAATAACTTGCTTCACTTAAAGTAACTGTATGTAACTTTTAGCAAGTTCCTCTAATTTAGGAGGCATTTTTGAAAATTTTTGTTACTTGGATATTTCCTTTTAGCAATTAAAACAATATTAGTAGAAAGTAGGTACTGGCCAGAGTAAGGACCGAATCCTGCAAAGATCTGGAGTACTGGCATTTGGTGTGCAGTACTTACTGCCTTCTCCCATGAGTATTAGCTATGGAAACAAAAGAAAGTTCAACATCATTGTGTTTTCCATGCTGCTTCACACAGTATTTCCTTCATGTTCTGTATGGTTTTAAATGTTAGTTTAAGCATTTAGATTATTCCTCTATGCAATAGGCACACAGGAAATAGCTTGATGAAAAGCTGCCAATAGTTGAGTCTATAAACACAGTTTGATCTGTATCTTAGAAAATTGTTTCCATTCCAAACTGTGGTTACAAAGCACTTTTTCTTGTTGGCAGCTGGATTTTTTTTAAATCCCTATGCATCCTGTATTTGCCCAACAGAGTTGGCATTGATCACATTAAAAAAACCTTGCAGATAAAGTAACATTAAGGATCTGGCTGGAACTAACTTGAGCCAGTGGAGTAAGAGGCAAAGCTGAGCTTTTGTTTTCAGCATAGCCTGTTTTGTTCAGGAGCTGCAAAGCACACAGTGCCGAATGTGAGTCTTCTTACTTGGCCTTCAACAGAAAGTGAAAGCTGCTTCAAGAGAATGGGACTAGAGTTTGCATCAACTTGAAGAGGCGTCTAATTAGGAGACTGGCAAATATTTAGGACCGGTTTAACAGTGTAACTTTTAACACAGAGAAAGCAGTATTCTTCTGAAGGTACAAAGAGAAATGTTTTTAAACATTTTTTTTTCATTAACAGATTGAGATTTCACCAGTTACTTAATTTTTGCTGAGTTGATAATGTGAGAACTGTAAATAACTGAACAAGCAAAAAATCAAACTTAAGTTTGAAAAAAAAATGCATTGATGGGAAGGATATCCCTGGTGAAGTTGCTGATTGATAGGTGGCAATGTTTGGGCACCGATACAGTTGAATAATGAAATTACGCAGATAAATATTTCCTAATAAAAGACTGAAAAATAACCTTTCCAGCCTTGCTGACAGCATCAGAGATCAGCTCTGCCTCAGCAGATAGGATGAAGAAGTTGTGCTTTCCTAAGTACACAGGCTTTCATTTCTGTACACACTCGGGGACTGGTTTTGAACTGCTCCGGTCTGCCTTCAGGAAATTCCATCCCTCACAGCCTACAAGGTCTCCTCAGATGTATCTGAATAATAGTTTCTTATTAATTTATCATGTACCCGTGGATGGACTTTATTTTACTTTTCTGGGATTCATTTGTGTGAGTAAAACTAAAAGTGTCTGGAAATGTGAATGAGTCTCCTTTTCATTAAAGCTTAACAAATCAGTATCTTTCTTCTCTCAAGACCTGTCGCAGACAGAGGGATAAAGTGACAACTATATGACTAAAGTGGAGCTGATGACAGCTGGGAACTGGAAGCATTTGAATGCCCCAATAAAATCTATGAGCACTCTTTTTATTGAAAGCGTCTGCCTTCCTGACACCAAAATGGACTGAAATAAGAGTCCTGTGAAACTCTATCAGGCAGCTAATAGCTGTGCGTCTTATCTCCAGCCTGCCAAACAACTGCTTTCTCTCAGATGCAGACACCACTACAGTCATTCACAGCTTTGTTACCCCCAGACCCTATTTTGAACTGGCCAGCTGAGGCACCCCAGAGGCCCAGAATACAGCTGCTTATCTTAGGAAGACAAACCAATGAGAGAATAAAAGATTTATATTTTAAACCTGAGGAGGTTGCTAGACAACAGGCTGGACAAAGCTGAAGGTGTTCATTACCAAAATGGGTCCACCATCTGCTCCCTGGGCACTGGAAATATGTGCAGTTGGAATTGCCCTTTTTAAAAGCAGATTTTAGAGACTCCAAGAGCAGTTAAGTGTTTGGCTCAGACCACTGGCTCCCTTTTAGAGAGTATCCTTGCCAGAAACCTTCTTAAACCAAAACTGTTTTAAGAGGCACCGCTGTCAAGATCTTACACCTGGTACACTACACTTGCATTGCTTTTGCTTGGCCTCCTCCAACAAAATGTGGTGCCTTCTCACCAGGTGCTCTGAGAAGCCACTGCCACTATCAGTTCTTCTCTGACTCCAGTGGCATGGGCCACCTGGGCTCTGGAAATGTGACTTGTAGCATCAGGATGGTTACCCTGCCTTTATGTGAAGTACTGAGCCCATTGCTCCCAGAGACATGGTCTACCTGTGCTGTTAAACTGTAATTAAAATTAAACAGGAAAGGATTTTAAGAGCCATGTCAGGCTAACCCAGATTCAAATGAGCAGCATGATGGAAATTCTTCTGTTCATAGCTATCAGCTAACTAAAGCAGGAGGAGTGTTCACGGCTCTGCTTTCTGTGCTTTGTTCAAACAGAAATAAGACAGTAATTCATGTTCTTTTTAGTATCTTACACTTACTTTTTAAAGTTAGTATTTGACTTTTTAGAAAATGCAAGCTAACATCTCTATGAGCTTTTCAAAACATGTCATTGAACCACAGGGCTGTCATTACCACCTCTGACTGCAATCTTACAGCATGCCAGTGCTATGGTAGGATGTCAGTCTCACCGAAGATATACTAAAAATACCAAAGTATTTTGGATACAAAGAAGCCAAATCATTACCCATAGAGTAAAAATAGTCAGTATCACAACCATCATCACCATTAACTTCTTCTAACATGGAGACAAAACCAGCAGATTGGTGGCACTCAACCTTGGTTGAATTGAAAGAAAACACCAACAGATAATGTAGTATATTTGGTCAAAAGAAAAATACATTCAAACTTTTGCTCAAAACATCAGGAGATTCTCCGTAAAGGAAATGAAATCACTACATAAGCATTTCTCTGTCTATTTTGTCCCATATCTTTAGGCCAGGACTGCCCCAGGAGGACAGGGGAGAAGCAGAGCTCTCACCTATGTCCACCTCTGGTCTGTTGCAAAGTACATCTACCATAAATCCCATTAAGCACAGGGCCCTAAAACCTGCTGCATATGCAAAATTTATTTATTAAAAATCCTGCAAAACTTACAACACTCTAAGGATATCTTGAATGACTTCCAATTACCTACTATCAGCCAACAAAATGCCAGAATGGGGGAATACATTTGATGAGCACCTTCTTAGGGGAATCCACTTTCTTAAAGTTCCTTTCTTCCATTTTTACCATTAAAAATAGCAAATTTTTTTTTTTAAATCATCAATCTCAAAATTCTGAGTTTCAAGTCAGAGTCAAATATAGAGGACTTCCAAGTGTGGTAACAGGAAAGCAGTATTTAGAAAGAGAAGTGGAAAAGTCCTTAAATGGGAAGACTGATCCTTTTTCAGAATTGCATATAGTGTGTGCTGTGCTCAAAGTACTTAAGATAATCACAAGGATGCCTTAAAAATGTGTTCTTGTAATCTTAAATTTTAAGCAACAGATGTTTTTGTAGGCAAAATCTGCCACGACTTTCACAAGGTAAAAGGACGTAGTCTATTTTTCTCTTTCACATAAGCTAAATAATTTTATACCTCAAAAAATTTATATGTATGCATATATGATCATTTCACTGTAGTTATCCTGTATGTTACAAAGCCAAATAAACTGGGGGGAAGAAAAGCCAGAGAAACATAGGATATCAACTCAGGTTGCTGAGAGATCTGTGGAATTTCATGTGAAATATCCTCTTCTTTCTCTCCATTGTGTGTGCTTCAAATGGAGCAATCAGAGAAGTCAATGGTAAGGAATCATGGAGGTTTTTTTCCATGTCCTGGAGTTCACCTATCAATAAAACTGTGTTTCATCAGAGAAAAAAGTTTTCCATGCAGCCAGTATGGACTACGTGTTTTGACCTGATGAGCTTTCTTGACTTGTAAAGAGCAGTGTAGCAAGGAGATTAATAGTTGATCCTGCTGGCTGCAGCGGGGAAAGTACCTCATTTGCAAACTTGCCAGAGTTGCTGCCTACCATCTGCTGACAGCTTGCTACCAGCACTCACCCACTTCTGTCATAACAAGGAACGACAAAAGGACAGCAGCTGACATGAAGGTGGCATGGTCAAGCTTCTTTGAATTATTAATGTCCATCACAACATTCAGTCACTCCTGGGAGACAGAACAGAACCCAAGAAAATGGAGGTGAAAAGATAGATTCTCATTTGTGCTCCCTTAATCATGTCTCCTCCATTTGCTCATATTCAAATCAATCTCGGTTTAAATACCTCAAGTTATATGGTACGGTCCTTCTATTATTCCAACAGCCTCACCAGTCATGTGGTCAGGAAGAATTTCCAAATATTTAACCCAAATATTAGTCAGCTATTCTATCTCATCATGCCTCATGTGATGTATTGGTGTGATGTCCTGCTAGTCTTCAGTGGCTGCACAAACTATGGCACATAGTCCTTGGTGGCATCTCTTCCTGCCCAGCCTAACAGACTGCCCAGCTGGTGGCAGAGATGACACCAGGCTCTGGCACAGGGACCGTGAGCCAGTCCTGCAGGAGTTCCTCTGAGCTTCCAGGAATATTACCTGAACAAAAAAAAATATATTTAAATGCATTTTAGTCTTTCAAAAAATTGAAAATCAATTTACTTTCCAATTCAAAATGTTTTCTGCACGGGAGTGGAAAGGCAATGTGTCTCAGCTGATTTCAAGTAGACAGGAAAGGCCACAAAGGCTTCTGTGCTTTCTCTAGTAGGCACTCACAGTAAGGCCACTCTTCAGGTGAGATCTGTTATAGAAGTGGGAGCTATTGAAACTATTCAAAATATTTACATTCTTTAGTGGATAGAAGCACTACTTTATCCTAATCTCTTCTCTAATTACTTGAGTTTCCAGCCATGCCACAATATAATCTATTTAATGTCCACAACAAAGACCCACAGCATTTTAATACAACAAATTTCACATAGATATTACAGTGGTGGGGATTCTGAAAGACCATGTATATTTAATAGATTAAATCAATTTCTCAATGTATATTTTTCCTTGTTTAATCCCTCAACTTTCCTTCTTATTGCTAAAATTTGTTTCCTAAATGCCATATGCTTCTCCAGAATAACAAGATTCAGTGGCATGTAAAAAACCAATTATGTAAAGTTAAGCTTCTGGTTTTTTTTTACATTGAACTGTGAGATCTAAAATGGCAGATTTTTTAAAAATCTATTTTTAACTTTGTATGTTTCCAAACACCAGTTTCTGCTCTGAAACATCATGTGCAAGATCATTTTCAGTATTCTTCCACTTTTGTCTGGCAAATTCCCCTGTTGTCTATATATGAAAGAAACACAGCTAAACCGGATATACTGAGTGTAAAAACAGAATTTGCATGGGAGGGACAAGGGCAGGGGGAAGTCTGAAACTAAAATTACTCCAAGTGGCTTTTTCAAACTGTGTTTCCAAGGTGACAAAAACCCTTTTATTGCAAGGTTGCTCATTTATCTTGTACAGTTGCCAGGATTTTGATCTAATTTTTAGGTCTGAAGAACTAAAATTATCCCACTCCTTCTCAAAATAAAACCCAACCAAATACAACAAAACAGGTTTTAACTGTTTAGTGCCTTCTACCCTTACAACCAGCAACAAAGTAAAATCAGGTCAAATTGTAAATGTGCCAATTTTAGCATCCCTTTGGAAGATGTGTCCCCAAACAGCACATTCTAATCATGCATTTGGTTCATCAGTTATCCCAGGCTAAATTATGTGCTGAGATCTCAATAACAGTTTGCAGCCTTTCTGAGCTGGCACCTTGTATATGTCTGTGACAGACAGCACTCTACCTGTTTTCCTTTCTAAACAACATATGGGCTTAATGAAGACCCTTAGGTATTTACCTGCTTTACCTGAAGAACCCCAGAGAATGATGACCCCCCAGTTTTACCTCCTGTCTCCCCCTTATCACTTCCTTACCCTCACTTACTCTGTCACAGCTGAGCTTACTGCAGGAGTTTGGGACAAGTGCCGTGGCACAGCTTCACAGAAGATTAACTTCCTGAAGAGAGACTTTACCATCCTAGACCTCACATCCGCTGTGGTCCTCACACACCTCTTCCTTGGGCCTTGGAAGGGCTTTGTCCGTAATGCTCCCAGGGCCTTGAGCTTTGCCATGCCCGGGGCAGAGCCCTCTCTAGATAGTAAAATGAGTTTATCAGTCTTTTTGTCTGTCAGTTACTTAAAACAGTCTTAGCAGTCAGCAACCTCTAACATAGACAGGTTTACTGCTCATTCAGATGGAAACCCATTCCTCCAGGATTCAGTGTGCACAAGGAGGCAACATGCAGGGCTGGTTCTGCTGACTGGCCCCCCCCCTCTGCCCACCCAGTGAAAACCAGCTTGTGACTCACAAAGGCGTCCTGGTCTCCAGTGGCGTTTCTGGTTCCACACATCATTTGAGAAGGACAACAGTTGTTACAGACGGATGTTAGGAAAGACTGCTTCCCAAGGAGGCATTTCCTTTGCTGCTGACTGGCATGAGCTCCGTTACTTCCCATGCTCAGTGCCATGGCTGCTGTTGCCTTAGAGATCAAAACCAACTGAAGAAGAATCTGCTCTTCCTAGGCACCAGAGTCTCCTACAGAACTGGTTGATGCTCATCTTTCACCATTAAGAAGTCCTCCTGTTGTAGTCATTGGACACTACTGCCAGGCAAGAGAGCCAGTATGAGAGTGAGCATCAATTGCTTGTGCAGGGGCAAAAGCAGCAGCGACTGCAGGTCTGACCCTGGAGTGCTGCTTGTGCCCTGTGGGAAGTCGGACAACACAGTGAGCAGGATGCCAGTGCACAATTGCTCCATCAGACTGACTCTACTCAGGTAACATGTAAGACACCAGCTCCCTCTGCTTCTCTGACGTGAGGTACTTCTCAGAAACCCCAAACTACTTGTTCAGTGTGCCAAGTCTTGCCAGCACTTAGTGTCCAATGTTAAGGAACCCCATTAGAAACTGTATCCAAAACATCAAAGAAACAGTGAATTATGTAGTTTAATATGTCTGATTCAGCAAGCACTGCAGAGTCAACTGTCTCCCTCAAAGCACACTGCACGTGGCCTTGGTGTTTCTGTCTGAAAAGCACATCCAAGTCTCCCTGCCTGTCCACAGGAGATACAGGAAGAGACGCTCCCAAGGCTTTTAGGTCAGTCAGCAGGGACAAGTCCCACCTTATTAAAGCAGCTATGATGCTGCAAATCTGGGCATCTCAGCCCCTGTTGCACTGGCTTGTGCTCTCCCTGGCAATTTGCATACAAAATGTATATTCTTTAAACACATTCACAAATGTTAACCTGAAGCAGAATTTTTCTTTGCCTGTCAGCAAAGAACATCTGGAAATGATCAATCTCTCTCTCCACCTTGCTCAAATGTCTTCAGGGAGAAATTAATCTTTTAAGACATCTATATTAAAATGAAAAAATGCTTCTCTAAGCTTGCTAAATTCAGTTAAGTTTTCCTGTGAAGAAAGCATAGGAGGGAAAGGAATTCATTCTTTCTAAGAGTAAAAAAATACAAATCCATTTCCTTACTCTGCTGTTAGGTGCACGGCAAGGCTTCTATGGAGAAACAAAGGACCCCAGCACTGTAAATTCACATGTGCAATTTGCTCATACACAGCAGACTTTCCAGTGCCTGTAGTGGGATTCATGCATAGCAGAACTTCATACACATGTGTAGCTTCTCGCAGGAATGGATCTTGCAGCATCTCTAAGGAGAAACGTTACCAGTCTGGGAACCGATAAGAAATAATCAGTGCTGCAATTTACTCTCATTCTCATTCTCCACCACCCTTTGCACTTAATATAAGAACCAGTGAATCAATTAATAGGAAAAAAACAGTCTAAGGTGAGGAAAAAGCTGACTTTAGAAGGCAATACTGGTGTGCTACCAAGAGCAGAAACATTGAACCCACTGTGTTTTTCCCAGCAAGGTGTATTTTGGGAGGGAGTCTGGGGTGCTGTGCATGCAGGGCCCTCACTTGGGCAGGGTGTGCCTGCACAAGTATTTTGGTTTGGATCAGGAGGCAGCTTTTGAAGGGACTCTCCCTATCAGCCTGGCAGACTCTGCATTGGTTTTCAGAGTGCACCAGCTGGATTCCTTTCAGATGAAACTCAAACCAGAAGATGCACTCCAGGAGTGCATTTAATGCACTTGGACTGCTGCTGGGCATTGCTCCTGTGGGAGCAACGCCGAGCTAGCCCACAGCACGGACTAGTTCACCTTACAGGCACTCTCCTATTGTGCCAAAATGACTTACAAATGCAAACGTAGCCACAGATTAAAGACAATCTCTCAGCATGATATCAGAAATAGAACCGATCACATATAGCTTCCCAAAAACCCTGTAGCATTAACCAGGGGAGTCAGTAAACCTGCTTATTCTTATGAAAACAGAATATCTACTAATTTAGCAAACAAAAGCCATATACAGTATAATTGAGAAAAACAAACAAATGCTCAAGATGGACTGACCACCTAAAATGGATTATTTACTCTCGAGTGCCAGGAAAGCAAATTCCCCAACCACTAGTATTGCTGGTTCTTAATGCTCAAGTGTGTATGCACAATGTGGGATATAAACACAGTTCTGACCGAAAATCCTGTAGAGTTGCTCAGGAATTAGTGCTATTATTAAATGTGATACTTTTTCAGGTTAATTTCTGCAGAATGCTATTAAAATCTAAGAGACTTTTGCAGCATGAGAAGGAAAAGCAAAAATCAGGGTCTACCAAATATTCCCAATATAAAATAACTGATTCATTTAAGCCCCTTCACATTATTTCCTAAACTCTGCATTTCAGATCAATCAATGAAGACAATTGTGTAACCCCCAGCACTACTGTTGTGCTATAGCCAAAGCAGCATCAAGTGAAGCTTCCACCTACCATGGGGCATATCCAGCCCCTGGAAACATTTGCCCTTTAAGCAAATCACAGTAAGTATTTTCCAAGTGAATAAGACCATTATCTTTCAGCTTCATAAGTTGCCAAAATCCTGTGAAAAATTAAATGAGGTCTTTTAATTAAAAGCCTAAACACATACAGTGGGTCAGTTCCATCTCAAGGCCCCCCATTGCTTCTCTCAAGTATAATGGTAGTTTCTTTTCATTCCTTCTGAATAGTCATGAGAAAAAAATTGCTTTAAGGCCTAATTTAACTTCTGAGTGAGCTGCAGGGCCTGACTGTTAAATCCTGTCCAGAGTTACCCTAGTACAGCAGCAACACAATCCTCAGTATAAGTCTGCTCCAAGGAAACTTGGATGCAGTGCACTGGAGCAGGTTTTGTGACCAAACAAACTGCTCTCAGAAATTATGTCTTTTGCTATAATTCTGCCATTTAGCTTAGAATTAGTTTGGGTTTTTAAAATGGCATTAAAGTTGTTTTCTTTTTCCCTCGGCTATGTCAAAACAAAAGAACCAAGGCAAAACCTGAGGTAAATCACATGACCAGGAATACATCATCCATGTACACTTGTGCTGACACACAAGCAGAGTCCTTGCTGTCTTGAACACAAAACTACAAATGATAAAACTGCATTAGTGG